TGGCCATCTTCTTCCTATCCATTCATCTGCCAAATAAGAGAGCATCCCAACAAGAGGGTGACGGCAGCAGATTAATGATACAGACCAAACTACTGTGATGTCTGGTGTGCCAAAATCCGGATCTGATTTTCTCACAAAGTCTAGATATGCTATTCTGTTAAATCTAGTCTATTCTGTGCATCCTTAGTTCCAAGATGTAATCAACAAATTGTCCATCTGTGATACCTGCAGATGCAGAAAGCTGAGAAGATTAAAATATATTGTGTTCAAGTGAACATATGTACAAAACAGCAGGCAGCAGACAGCAGCAAAAGCTAGTGGGTAACTATCCTGGCTAACCTGGAGAATACTAAACAAGATTCAACCTGCAGAATCTCCCAGTCTGTAATAATTTCAACTAGAAAGAATGCACATTCCTTTTTGAGATCTCAATGGGATTTGAAGCACTGGATTCTAGTGAGAAATGAGCACCAAGCTATTCTGTAATCCAGCATAAGGCGGATTCAGTTTTTAATTTCAGCAGAACTAGATACAGTATGTCTTCAGTTGCAATTTTCCGTAGCCAAATGTAGCCTCATTGTGTTCCCAAAGACCTCCAAAACTGTGTCACAATAACTCAGGAGCACTGGTAGCCCTTGCTGGGGATTTTGGAATCTATTTACCTGAACATAAGTTACAATGGTTAAAACAAATGGTAATAATTTAGGACTATGTAAAAGTTGGTATGGAGAAGTGCAGAATATGCAAACATTCATAATAATGATTCCAATTCAGAAGTGGAGTCTGTGACTGAGACACAGTAATGAGGGGTTCAAGTCTTTTAAAAGAAAGCAGGGTGGGGGCTGTGTGTATCCCGGAGAATGAGGACAGATTCCTGCTTCCTGGAATCCAAAGCATGTCACTGTTTAATAGATCAATTCGGAAATATACAAGTCCTGTTTTATATATAACTAGATAATCAGACAGAATTGGAGATGAGTCATCCTGTGACCACACAGGGCTTTTGTAGATAAAAACCAGCACCTTGAATTCCCCAGAAATCAAGTAGCATTTACCTGACATATCCCCATCCCTGCCTCTGCTGTCCACTTCTGGACTAGATCTGGCTTCTGAAGAGTCTTCTAGGGCAGCCTATGTAGAGTTCACTGCAGTGACCCATACCATGAATAATTTACAGAATCTGCTTTCAGAATTCAGCAATTTCAGATCACGATGGAGAAAAAAATGATCTATATGATCACTAAAAGCTGACAAAGGTTTGATGGCACATAATCAATGTTATTCATAAGAAACAATGACTAATCTAACATGGTAATTTTTGCTCTACCAATTCACATCCATATCTTTCACCACGACCACAAACCAAACTTGATTAAATTAAATTAAATTAACAGGGTTCAAGATCATGTTTCAGAAAGTTTTTTAATGAAGCATCCTATTAAAATGTGCAAGTTGCTAAGAGGTATGAATTCATTGTGCCTCCATGTCAGATTCTCCCGTATGAGCAGAAAATACAAAATTAGAGCCTCATCCCCATCTTTCTCGCTCTCCCTCTTCATGTGCCCTCAAGGACGATAATTAAGGCAATAAAACCAAGGAAATCATATACAGTTCTCCAAGTAATTTTAGTATGTTGCATTTCTCCACATACTTCATGAGATTAAAGAAATACACTGAAACTAGTGTTGTATTGAAACAAAGAAACAGAAACTGCAACTAAATGAAGGGGACAGGGATCTGAAAAGTCAAGAAAGCAGTAGTCACCACATAATAAAAGCCTTCTTCCTTTTTCACATACATCACACATGAAAAAAACACACAAAAAAGGATGGGGCGTCAATCAAGCAATTACAACCACCACTTCTTCATTTTTGGAACCTCATTCCCTTGACCTAGGATCTCACGGGGCTAAAAATGCCTTTCTTATCCATTTTTTAATCGGATTTGTCTTCTTACAAAATTGAAATGACAGTTAATTTTTTTTTCTTCCTCTTTGTCTTTAGCACTCTGTTCTAGTTATTCTATTATTGCTTCAATTTTAGGAAATGCTATTGCTACATACTTCGTTATCAATCTCTCCTGAGTTTCCACTTTCACAAGCTGGGACTATAAAATCCAGTAGCCACACTGGAGAAGTCAGACATCCTCTTCCGAGGAGCCGCAGCAATGAAGGCACTAATGTTCACCCTCCTCTTCCTCCTCATTGCAGCCAATGAAGCCAAAGTATTTAAAAAATGTGAACTGGCTTCACTACTGAAAAAAAATGGCATGGATAGATATTATGGCTATTCATTGGGCAACTGTGAGTTGAATTTACTCTTTTTATCTCTCTATTTTAGCCTGATCCAAATTTTCAAGAGGGATGGGTCCTTGGGTCCTTCCTTGGTTGGGGAAGAATGATTGAAGATGGTTAAATTTTCTGGGTAAGAAACTAGGACAGCTTTTCATTTGCAACACAAGCCTTTTATACTCCTTTCCCTGTTTGCTTTCTTCCAGGGATCTGTATGGCTTATCATGAGAGTAGATACAACACCCAAGCTGTCGGGCCACCAAACACAGATGGCAGTCTTGACTATGGGATCTTCCAGATAAACAGCCGCTATTGGTGCAACAATAACCAGGGCCCTACAGCTAATGGCTGCAACAAGCCTTGCAGTGGTAAGACACCTAGTGTAGCGGATAAATTATCTCTGATGAAGGAATACAAGAATTGTTAGGAGAATTATTAAAATAAAGTTGAAAATAATGACAATTCAGTCTAGGAAAGAAAGAAATCTCCAGAAATAAAAATAACTCTTGATCCTTTTTGGTATAAGAGGTAGGAGGGAGAAGTCTTGACAAGCTTTCAAAATTCTGTTATTGTTGGTGTTATGAAGTAGTATTCCTGTAATCCTTATAGTGTTTCTTTCCTGATATGACCTAATACCAAGGGCTGACACCTATTATACTAGAAAAGCAAGGAAATGTCCCAAATAAGTCAGAGGAAACTTTTGAAGGGGCGTTCCAGTCCTTCTTCTCCTTTATTGCTCTTTGTACTTGTTCAATTTCATCCGGTGCTTCATGAAGTTTGGCGCTGAATCACCCTGTCTCTCAAATTAATGTTGAGTTCCTGCTTGGTTTATCTATCATAGTATCTAACCACCATATTTTCTGTGGGCCTCTTCTCCTTCCTCAATCTGCTT